TTTTTTTTTTACTTTTTTAGATGCACCTTAGTTAGATGTATCTAAAAAGTAAAAAATTTGTGAAAAAATATTTTTAAAAATTAATAAATACATAAAAATATAAAAAATGTACTGAATTCTCGTATTTTTTTTATATTTTTGATATTTAGTGAATTTTTAAAAGTTTTTTTTTCAATTTTTTTTTTTACTTTTTAGGTATATTTATGTTAGGTATGTCTAAAAATTAAAAAAATTGCTCAAAATATTAAAAAAATTCAGTAAAAACAAAAAAATATAAAAAATAAAAAAGTAAAATTTTCTGAAAAGTGTTTTTGAAAAGTGGTAACCAAGCATATATTTTTTCTTAGTACGCTTTCCAATTCCCTTTTTTGTAAGGATAAAAAAATCATATAAATAAAAATCTTTTAAAAATAGGATTTTATTGATTGAAAATAATGAAATAGAACTTAATAAAACATCAATCTTATAAACAGGGCTTTTGAATAATTAACTCAATATTTCTTTACTACCCCACTATCATGCAATTTTCCCATTATAATAATAAAAACTCTCCTCAACAGTAAAAAACAAAAACCTTATCTAAAGCCTAAAACAATTGGGCAATTTTGGGTATGCTATTTAAATTAGTTCAACTCAAACATACCTGTAACTGAATTTGCGAGTCATTTTCTTTGAATAGTTCTATAATTGGGCTTCAAAATTGTCATCACCATTTTAATGGGAATTCCATTTACACCCAACAAATAATAAGTATATCAAATTTCCCAGTATATACTATTAAATTATTTAGGGTTATAATTTATTTTCAATACATGCTATTTTTTTTTTCCCTCTAAATTACCCTTTAAGATACACCTAAATAACAAATAAATCAAAAATTCTAATTTCACACACAAATTCAATTTGTGAGATTAAAATCAGGATTCCAATGGGTTGTTGCTCGTAAATGTTGGTGGAATTTTTCTTTCTTCTTTGAATCTCCTAGACCATTAACCCTGCGTGAGGCCTCCCTCGTGGTTGGAAGTTTGAGAAACAAAACTTGGGTAGTGGAGATTGATTTTCTTATAATAAACGAAAAGTTAATTCAGGCTGTAGTGAATGAACACCATTGCTTCTATTGATTTTCTATTTCAGTTTTTTTTTTTTTTTTTTCCTCTTCTTCTTCTTTTGTTTTGAATATGTTAGTGTATAATTGTTAATAGATGTTATAGCATCATAGCTTAGCATTATAGTTTTAGCACAGCTTTATCTTTTATATTGTAAATGCTTTATGTTTTCGGTGGGCATCCAATGCATCATATCCTCTCTATAAAGAGAGTGCATTCTCTTTGTAAACTTATATACACAATTACAGACAATTCAGTGTCTCTCTCTCTCTCTCTATCAAACTATTGTTTTATGGTATCAGAGCCCAGGTATACAATTCTGGCATTAATTAAAATTTTAATTATATAATTATATATATACAATATATATAAACATTCCACAAAAAAAATCAATATTTTATCAAAATAATAATATCTACTACCACTATTATATAAATGTATTATTTATAGTTAACTATCATTTACATTTATATTTTTTAAATATATAAGTAACATATTTATCTTATTTTTTATACATATTTTTACATTATTTAATATATAAATAATAAATATTTAACTAGCCAAACTTTAGAATGTTTGGGTTTGTTTATTAAAAATTTAACGAGCTCGAATGTAAAAAAAATTTAATGAACAGAGTTCGAACGAGCTCTTACCGAACCGAGTTCGAGCCGGTTCACGAACTACTCTATTTATTTGCAGCCCTAATCACAGCAAGATGTTGTGATAGCAAAGATCCCAAATCCATTGAGTGTTGATGGGGGTGGATTGAAATTTTAGAGGGAGCAAAAAGATGAAGAGAAGATAATTGAAACTTAGAAAGAAGATAAAGATAGTTGAATATGATTATATGTTTATGTGGTTTGGGTATATTATTATGAATTATTATTTGAGTGCAAATAAATTCACCCCATTTTAATACTTGGTCTGGGCTACAAATTGATTGGGCTGCGGGGCCACTCAGCATCCATGGGCTAACCTTAAAAATGTCTGTATATGCACACATTAACGGTACGTGGCTTAATACGAATTAAGAATTAAGGTTGTTAAGACCCAAAAAAGAAAAAAAGGAAAAAAAATGTTAAGTGAATCAAGTTATTCAAGCTTGATTTACCTACGATTGGCTAAAAATTTGTCTGAGATCTACTCAGTCTGTAAACAAATTGAATCTAAACATAATTTTAAATTTGTTAAGTTTTCAAATTAAATTTGAATAACCTACTACTCAACTTGTTTGAAGCAATAGTTAAACTACAAAAATTACAAAATTTGATGTCAGTTTGTTTTGGGTAGTTACAAGAGGTAAGAAATATACGCTTTGTTTGTTTGGGTGGAAAAAATTTTCTAATGAAAAATATTTTTTGCTGAAATTTTTTTTTCAAAATATTTTCTATGTTTGGTGGTGGTGAGAGTGGAATGAAGGTGGAGGCATGGTGGAGGGGCGACGGTGATGGCGGCAATAATGGTGGTGTGGTGACATTGATAAAATTTTAGTCCTTAAAATGTTTTCTATTTTTTAAAAATGGAAAATATTTTTTTGTTGATTATGAAAAATATTTTTTGATAACTTTTGTTTTTTATTATATTAAACACTAAAAAATATTTTCCGTTCAAATAAGTGAAATAATTATAAGGAGTATTTTTAAAAAATTAAAAAACGTGACGAGAACGAACGTAGACCAATTCAGGTGTATAAACATGAGGGGGTATTTCTTTACTTTGTTAAATAACAATAACAAAAAAAAGAAAAGAAAAAAAAGGTCAGGTCTGATCAATGACTCTAGATTTAACTGACAGTTACAGAAAACTAAGAACTTACTGATATTAAAATTAAATCTTATAATTGCTAATAACATGTGTTGTATATATTAACTGATACTCTCATCGACTTCCCCTCTTTAAATCCACGTAGTCTTCCTTCAAACTCCTGATTTTCCCATGCATGAAACGTACTCACAACCTCCCTATTCTTTCATCTCTATATATAAAATCAAATCCTTCATCCACATCTCTCATCCCTCATCTCTCTCTCTCTCCAATGGCTTCAGTTTCAAAGCTCTTCCTCTTCACTGTTTTTTTGGCTGCATGGGGCATGAAATCAACATCCTCATCACCACCACCACAACCACCAGCAGAACCAACTCCGAGCCTCATGGAGCGATTGCAATCGAACGAGTCATCGACTTGCTGGGACGCAATGCTAGAGATCCACTCGTGCATTGGAGAGGCAGTGTTGTTCTTCCTCAACGGCGAGGCTTACATGGGTCCGGGCTGTTGTCGTGCCATTCGGACCATCGTGAATCAATGCAGACCTGCCATGCTTGAAATGCTAGGGTTTACACCCGAGGAGAGCCACGTGCTTGATGACTACTGCGAAAGAGAGGAGGTTGAGACTCCACCATCACCGCCACCACTACCGTCTACAATGGTGGCGGCCAAGCCTGCTGATGAGGTGGTTTTGTTGGAAGATTTGAAGGCTTAAAAAGGGTGTTTGGTGATGGTGATTTAAGTGTGTTTTTCTTAGAAGAGTTTAATTATGCCGTATTTATATGCTAGTTTGCAAATGTGGGTTGGTTTATAGGCAGTTGCCTAATCAGAAAATTAATTTATAAAATATTTTTATTCTTCTTAAAATTACTACTAATAATATAAAATAAACTTCTTGAATTAATATTAAGCTTAAAAACTAATATTTCATTAAAAGGTTTTTAATGCAAACTTGTACAATTGATCAGGATGAATTTTTTTGTTTCAAAATTAATAATAATAACAATAGTAATAGTAATATTAAAATTTAATTTTAGCACAATTCATTGCAAATCAATATCCCCAATTCCAGCATAAATTTCACAGATCAAAATTCTTAATTTCATTAATTCTTAATTTTACCACAAATTAAAATTTCTAATTTGACCACATCAAAATTTCAGATTTTTAGCAAAAATAACTATAAATTTATGGAAACCTCATTTTTTACGCAAATAAATTATAATATAAAAATTACAAAATGAAAAGGGGGGGACGTAATCCCTGGACCGATTGATTTGAATGAAATAGATGGAATCCTAAGTACAATTTTTCTATAATATTTGGCACTCAAAATTTAGTAGTCCATCACTGAGCACACGCGCAATTTTCCTGCAATCTTATTGTAAGTGAATAAATTTTGAGTTTCTTTGAGGGAAAATTACATGATAGTCTTGCGACAAGTTCACATGTTGTCCCAATTTAATTTTTATTAGTTAAAATAGTAAAATTAAGAATTCTGTGTTAATTTTTAAAGACAACATAACAAATATTTTGTGCAACACTGCTTCAAAATCACCAAATAATCTCTTTATAAAAACCGCAGACGACTTTCTAATCAAATTACTCAAAGGCCAAACAGATATAAAAATGCCAAATAAATCTAGACTTGACATAAAAGCTTGGAAGGCCACCAATCACTCACCGTTGATAAAAGCTTGGAAGTTGATAAAATATGATTCGTGAAACAACATTGATTCCATTCAACTTATCATTCATCACTAAGCTATTATATAGAAGTTTGTTACATGATGTAATTTGCTTGAATGTTCATTTTGTTTGATAAGGATACATTACTTTGTGGAGTTACACTAGTTATTATTGGATGTTTGGTGGAATTGTACAAGTAACTTTTGGATATTTTGTGGATATTGTACTATTTTATTGTATTAGGATGAAATTATTTGTAATGATGAATGGATATTTTCATTTTGTTAATTCGTAAATGTGTTGATGACAAGTTAGGTTAAGTTGTGAATGGAATTGTTGTATTCAACAGGTTTCAACATAAACAGGGTTATATTTGTTAAACTAAAATTCAGATTTTGATAAAATGGGTATATAATGTGGAAAAAAATATTATGAAATTAGTGACAAAATTTTCCATCATTAAAGAAGGTTTTTTTGTCTCTTATTTGTCTTAGGTGGAAAATTAATTTTGTTATGAATTCTTTATTTCATTGTTAAATGAATTTGTCATGACGAAAAATATTGTCATATTTTGTCACTATTACTCTCAATGTGTGATGATTTTTTTTTTGACATTATTTCATCATTTTTAATGATGAATTTGTTTTTGTCTCTATTGGTAGCTTTTTTGACAAAAAAATTTCGTCTTCGTTTATATTAAACGTGATAAAATTATTTCGTCTTTAATTTCTTTCTTTAATGACAAAATATTTTGTCGCTAGTTACTTATAAGTATGTTCCCAACAGAGTGTATTGGAGATAAAAAAATTCGTCACAAATTTATTATTTTTAATGATGAATTTGTTTTTGTCTCTATTGGTAGCTTCTTTGACAAAACTTTTTCGTCTTCGTTTATATTAAATGTGACAAATTATTTCGTCTCTATTTCTTATATTTATGACAAAATACTTTTGTCTCTAATTTCTTCTTTTAATGACAGAATATTTTATCGCTAATTACTTACAAGTATGTTCCCAACAGAGTGTATTGGAGACAAAAAAATTTGTCACAAATTTATCATTTTTAATGACGAATTTGTTTTTTCGTCTCTAAGACCCTTTAGCGACAACGCTTTGGCGACAAAACGGGTGACGAAAAATTTTCGTCGTAATTAGTTTGAGCGACGAAATATATATATTTTGGGACAAATTTGTTTCGTCTTTAAATCCCAAATTTGTTGTAGTGTGTTAACCCAACTTGATCTAGATTGTTTAGGGTATGCTATATAAGTGTGGGGACATAATTTTTGAATGACAACACGTGGCCGAGGTGGTATCGGAGTGCCAGCCGAGGTGCCACGTGTCTTGAACATGACGCCGAGATTATCTTGGTAAGGCCGAGGTTATCTGCAAAAATATCAGAATCCAAGCAAGAGTCTTAGAATGAGAGGGGACTTCAGTTTGGATAAAGATAAGACTCTTAGAGTATTTATCCCAATCTAACTGGGAGTTCAGGATTAGCATTGAACCAGAGTCCATTGAAGCTAGGCTTCTATTGGGATTAGGTCAGTGTTAGCTATAAAAGAGAGGCATTCTCAGGGGGTCTAAGGTACGCTTTTTTGTATTCTGAACAGTGAGTTAAGCACTTTTGCTATTTTAGTGTAACACCCAAAAAATGTAAATTATAATTATTCGAATTATCCATGCGTTAATTGCGGATTATATGATTTAATTTGTGTGTATTTGTCTAAATTGGGAAATTATTTGTTGAGAATACAACTTTGGAATTGAAATTGACGACCATAATGGATTCAAAAATCGAAATTGGGTACATGGATATGCTAATGAGAATTTTTAGAGCCATTTAGGACGTTTAATTGAAAATTGATTTCGTTTGATTCGCTAATTTTAATAGGTTGGAATTAAATAATTGAATAGGAATTAGAGCTTAATACACATTAGTATAATTTAATTTAGTGTAATTAAGATTATAAGATGATGAGATGAATTTAATCCCAATTAGGTAATATAATATTAAAGCCTAAAATATGTATAATCAAAAGAACTAGTGTGTTGCCATAAATTAAATATAGTTTAAGAGAGAGAATGCTTGGTTGGCTATTTTAGTAACGTTTTGGCTATTTGGCTAAAATATGAACTGAAAAAAATTAGTATGTTTGGGATGACTTTTTGGCTTTTTACGAAAAGATGTGCAAAAAGTAGAGAAAAAAGAGAATCTTTGACTTTTTTGTATGAGTTATTAGTTTTTTAATTTTTTTAGTGATTTTTTGACTTTTTGGCTAAAAAAGTCACTTGCCAAACGAGGCTTTAGTCATCTTTTTTTCACATGCTCACAGACCCACGTAGAGAGAGAGAATGAGAGGAAGAGTGAGTTGAACTCATAGAAGAGAAATTGGAAAGGAAGAAGAAGAAGAGGAACCATAAGAAAGCTAAAATTTTTGGTCTTGAAGCATCAATTAAGGTAAGAAATTATTCCAAATTTTTGATATTGAAGCTCTATTACACATCATCTTCCAAGATATAAGTTTAAATGAATTGAATTTGTCCTTAAATAGGAGATTTGCTCATGTAATTAAGAGCTTAGGACATGCATGTTTGCAAATGGGTAGAATTGTTCAAATTAACTCCTAATCTTTACATGCATGGTATATTTTTGATTCTATACTTGTTCTCCTACATGATTCATGGAGTTTAAGGAGAAATTAAGCATGAATTAGAGCTTGGGTTCAAGAAAATGGATGTTTCATGAAATTGAGTTTCAAAAATGATGTTCATATGCTTGATATCTTGCATGGTTTATGAGATTTAAAGAGAAAACTCCATAGATTTTGGGAAATGGGTTTAATTTGATATTTAGAGCCTTATAAGAATTCAATTAAGCATCTAATTTAGGTTCATAAAATTAGATGTAGTCAAATTAAGCCTTAATTGAGAATTAATTAAATTCAATTAAAATTGAGTTAAGCTTAAGATTATGGAAATAAATGTGAAGATTAATTATTTGGGCTTTAATTTGCTTGAAAATGGAGTTGAAATTGCAAAATGTGCATATTTATGAGTTTCTGATTCAATAATTTAAATATGACTGAATAATTGTAATTTAATGTGTATGAGCCTAATATAAGTTTAATTGTGTAATTAGTAAACTTAATAAGAGTTGGTTTATGATTGGATTATTTATATTTAATTATTTTGGTTAATACATGACTAAACATGTTTTAATTAAAGGTTAAAGGAAATTAATAACCTAATTAATTCTTAATTCTAGTCATCCATATTTAAAAGCTTAAGTGAACTAAATATGTTTAAGATGATTGTGTATCGTGCTATGCATATTTGTGATTGTAGGTCACGAGTCAAGGACTGCTTGACCAACCGTTTTGGAAGCCCACTGTGAGTAACGTTATTGTAAAGATATGTTCATATGAATTATGTTCCAAATGTAATTTGATAAGTTATGATTTCTGAAATAATATTTGTTTACGTGAATGAATGTCCTATGTTTGAAATCTATTATGGCATCCATAGATAGTCCCAAGTCATGGGGAATGGCACATTAATGTGGGTCCATGACATATATGTGATTACGAGATCTCGTTAGCCACTTCAGTGTGGTGATATACGTTTAATCGGTATCCGGGACCGATTACTCTAGTCAGAAGACGATATGTGATATATTCTATGAGATGTACCATTATATTATATTCTGATATGAGACTGATATGAATGATCGTGTCATGATTTGTTTTACGAATACGATATATTTGGAATTCGTTCACTAACCCTTTTACTTTAATGTTATTCACTGGGTTTTAGCTCACTGTTTTTATATATATGTATAGGTGAGCGTTCTGGAGAGTAAGCCTAGAAGGGGTCTTTAGCTGAGCTACCGTTTTGAAGCCTACCAAGTTGTTTTGTGTGCCTCTGAGTTGGGGCTAGGCCTGGAAAGCCGTTGTTAAGCTTTTGATCGTGAAGTACACTTTTGTTATGCGCATATGTTATGTATAAGATGTTAAGTTATAAGTTA